GCGTGCTGTACGACAAGCTGTAAACAACATACAGGTTAGTTCAAGATCAACATGTGAGAAATAGATATTGACAAAGACATGAGCAACCCCTTGCAATCACCAATTACATGTTTGTTTTTTTCGAATAACGACAGTAAGCCACTAAGATTTGTAAGATAAGGGTGTGCAACTTTGTTATCCACAAACAGTAAAACGAATTAAAGATTCCATGCACATGGCAATCAAATTATTTCTGACCAATAGCATTATACTATGCAATAGACGCTTGAACAATTTTGATTGCAAAAATTGTAATGATCAAGTTTATTACCATATTAAATGAAAATACGAAAGAAAGCAATCTTTCTTTTACAAACTCCTTCACTGACATTTGGTATTATTTAATATTTGCCTTGGAATTTTGGGATCATCTTGCAATTAAAGCGGGAGAGTCGTCACCAGCGCACGCAGGAGTTGAGTCCCAAGCGACGATAACAACACACGCTAAAACGCAAAGGCTCATGTGTAGACGCTTGTTTGTAAACAATGACACGCTATGGCCACCTGACGCATGCGCAGGTGACGACTCCCCCTCTTTAACATGATTTTCAATTGAATGTTCATTGCATATCAGACCAATTGCATTTATATGTATATTATAAATCCTTGCTGTCACAGAATACAAGAATTTATGAGAATTCTGTGGCAGTCTTAAAGTTAGGCTATGGGGTAGCTCATGTTTTTTATTAGTTGATCTGTTACTATAGTTACAATTGGAAAGTCATACACAATGACTTTATCTCAAATACAAGTATCAGAACCCTAACACCATTGGTTGGTTACAGATTATGAGCTGACACGACTGATACACCAATCACTTTCAACTTTAAAGGAGAGAGGTCATCCGTCACTTGCGTAAAAATGCAAAGGCTCATGGGTGGACGCTTGTTTACAAAAAAACGACATGCTATGGTCATCTGCCGCATGCAGTACAAATGCCATAGACTATTTAAGAGATTGTGACTAAACTATTGAAGCATATGAACAAAGTTTCCAAGTCCTCTAGTTTTAAACTTTTTCAAACATCTTTCACTTCACATTGTAGATTATGCATTCTTGGGAGGGGGGGGGGGTTCAAAAAGTATTGCATTTAAGATTTACTTTCTATCTAGAGCATCACTTGTTATAATACCCTAGTTTTTTGAATGAATTATTATAATACTTTCAAATAACATATTTGGGTATACACAATGTGGTGCCCTGCCCATAGTACAGATTGCAATGAAAATAAAACATGTCCAAAAATGGTGGTAATGGGCAAAATTAGTAGATAGATTTGGTTTTCGCTTATTTTTGCTAAGAGCTAATTGCGCTAAATTAAAACCCAGTGGATAATTAATTATAGAATGTATTGTTTCACTAACAAACTAGTGAATATAAAACTTTGCGGATATCTCTGCAACACCAAATCTGATAAAATATTACCCAGTAAATATTTCTCACTTAACGGCGCCTGTTTACACAGTAAAAACAAATCAAAGATAATGGGGCAGTTAATTACTTCTGTGACCCACTTCAATATCACATCGCTAAGGCGAAAATAGGTCATTATCAAATGTCATTCGATTGCCCTAAATCTGAAGCCATGCAGACAGATGGTGAGAACCACTTGTGAACGAATACTAAATCACCCA